GTGGTCGTTACATGCGACCATCCAGCCTCTCGGCCTTAATCATGATGGACTTTTTCTTCGACTAGCCAGTGATTATAAGACACCGCATATGCACAATAAATAAAGCATCAATTAGGCAAGGTATTGAAAATTGCAACTGAAATTTCATTAATCAAAAACTGAGAATTCGATAACATCATTTTTGTGAAAAGTTTTCAACAAAAGAAGAAGGAAAAAGAAAGGAAAAATTTAAACTTAATATTTCTTCAAGTTAGCCACGTTCTATGACCTGGGGAGTGATCTTCCTTCGGCGTCTTTGAGCGAGTATGCTCCTCCCGCATGAACCTTCTTGACCAGGTATGGTTCTTCCTAGTTGGGTTCAAGCATACCCACATGTTTCAGCACGTCCACCCTTTTCCAGACCAGGTCACCCACCTGGATCCTTCTGACCTTCACCTTTCTGTCATGTGCTGCTCCCATCCTTTGCTTGTACGTCTCGACCCTAATCGAGGCATGTTCTCGAAGTTCTTCGATTGTGTCTAGGGCCGCCATCATCAAGTTCTTGTTTTGTTCTGGGTCATATGTGCTCGATCTCTGGGATTGGACCTCGATCTCGACCCGGAGTAGCGCCTCCATTCCATAAACCAGACTGAATGGTGTTTCTCCCGTGGTCGACCTTGGCGTTGTTCGATACGCCCAAAGTACTGAAGTGAGCTCATCAACCCATGCGCCCGACGCCTTCTCCAGTCTCGTTTTCAGGCCATTCAGTATAATTCTGTTAGTCACCTCGACTTGTCCGTTGGCTTGTGGATGAGCGACTGATGCGAAATGCTGCTCGATCTTCATGTCTTCGCACCATGCTCGAATCTGTTTGCCATTGAATTGTGTCCCATTGTCAGACACCAACACCTTGGGGACACCAAACCTGCAGCAAATAATGTTATATAAAAATTGTATGACTTTCTCCTCCGTAATTTTGGCCAATGGTTCGGCCTCCACCCATTTTTCAAAGTAGTCCCCCGCCACGATAAAAAAATTTCCTTTGCCCTGTCCCTTGCGGCATTGGCCCCACCAGATCGATACCCCATTGCGCGAATGGGATAGGGGCACTCATTGTCGTCATTGTCTTGGCTGGTTGGTGGATAAGTGGGCCATGCTTCTGGCACTGCAGGCATTTTTTCACCATCGCCTTTGCGTCCTCCCTCATAGTCGGCCAGAAGTATCCAGCTCACAAAATTTTTGCCACCAAGGAACCGACCTTTCTATGATCGCTACAACACCCTTCATGCGTCTCCCTCAACACATATCGACCTTCCTCCCGTGTAACACACGTCAAGTGGGGTCCAGCATACGACCGCTTATACAACACCCCTCCATGCTCGAAGAACCTCCTCAACACCTTTGCCCCTCCTTCGTTCAACTCCCTCAATATCGAGGCTCTCCAGTCATCGACCTCCTCTATTTCGACCACCTCACACTCGACCACACTCTTCTCCATGTGCAACAAAGTTACACATATGCTCTTACAGTCGACCAGATTCTGTGCAATTTTGGATAACAAATCTGCTCGACCGTTCTCCCCTCGAGGTATCTGCACCAGCTCGAATGAGCTAAACTCCTCTCGTAGCCTCTTCATCTCCTCCACGTACTTCTGCATCCTATCCTCCTTCACCTCGAAATCCTCCTGGAACTGGCTCACCACCAGTTGAGAATCAGAATGCACCTGAATCTTTCGAGCTCCTCCCGCCATAGCCAACTGCATTCCCTTAATGACCGCCTCATACTCCGCCTCATTGTTCGACACCCGGTACCCTACTTTGACCGCGAACTCCAAACTATCTCCTTTGGGCGAAATTAACACGATGCCCAAGCCTCCTCCAACTCTCGACACCGAGCCATCAACAAACATCTGCCAAACACCTTCTACCTCTTCCTCTACTTTCGTACCCTCCTGTATAAAATCAGCCAACGCCTTGCCTTGATCGCCCTCCTCGGCTCATATGTTATCGTGTATTCGCTCAGCTCGACCTCCCATTTTACTAGCTGACCCAACACAGAGGGTCGACCCAAAGTTTCTCCCAGTGGCATGTTCGTTCTCACCTTCACCTTATGGCCCAGAAAATAAGGCTGCAACTTCCTTACCGTGACCACCACGGCTAAGGCACACTTCTCGATCTCCGAATATCTTCTCTCCACGCCTTGCATCACCCTACTCACATAATAGATCGGAAATTGCACCGTGCCCTCTTCCCGCAACAACACCGAACTCACCGTCGTTTCTCCGATTGATATGTATAACATAAGGTCCTCCCCATGGACCGGCTTGGCCAACAGAGGTAGATTGGCTAACGTCTTCTGCAATTCCTCAAATGATTTTTGAGCCTCCTCCGTCCACTGGAATTTCGAGCTCTTCCTCAGTGTTCAAAACAAGGGACCACTCTTCTCTGCCACCTTCGATATGAACCGACTCAGACTCGCGATCTGGTCTGTCAAGATCTGCACCTCTTTCACCTTCGTGGGCGGTTTCATCTCGATCACTGCCCTCACCTTTTCTGGGTTCACTTTGATCCCCCTCTTCATCATCATATATCCCAGAAATTTATCCGACTTCACTCCAAAAGAACATTTAGCAGGGTTTAGCTTCATACCATATCTCCGCAAAGTCAAGAACGTCTCCTTCAAATCATTCACGTGATCGGCCTCCTCCTTACTTTTCACCAATATATCATCGACGTAAACCTCCATATTTCTCCGCAATTGCTACTTAAAGATTTTATCGACCAGCCTTTGATATGTCGCACCCGCATTCTTTAGGCCAAAGGGCATCACCACGTAACAATAAGTGCCCCTGCTCGTAACAAGACTCACTCTCTTCCTATCCTCGCGAGCCAAAGGAATCTGGTGATATCCCTGGGACGCATCCATCAGACTGAGTAACTCACATCCGACAGTGGAATCGACCAGCTGGTCGATCCTAGGCAATGGATACAGATCTTTCGGGCACGCCTTGTTTAAATCGCGAAAATCAATGCACATCCTCCACTTACCCCCAGACTTAGATACCATCACAGTATTAGACAACATTTGGGGAATTAAATCTCCTTAACATGACCCGCCTTCAATAACTTCTCCACCTCATGCTCGATCACCTTATCCATCTCCACTCCATGGTGCCTCATTTTTTGTTTCATTGGCTTCACAGAAAGATCGATATTCAACCTATGCTCGATTACCTCCGCCTTTATACCCGTCAACTCCTCCGCAGTATATGCAAAAACATCCGTAAACTCCCTTATCAACCCAATCAACTCCGACTTTATGGGCTCCTCCAACTCCTTCCCTATTTGAAACTTCCTTTCCTTGCAACCTTCCACCATTTGAATCTCCTCGATCTCACCCCCTGGCTACATCTCCGCTTTCTCCTTCCCTTTATCCATTTTCTCCTTTTTCTCCTTCGACCTCAAACTCCTAGGTCGATTCAATGTTCCCTCTTCTGACTTCACCTACTTCCTCGAGAACTGCTTACTGTTGCTCACCATGGTTTGATTACAACTCCTCGAGGTAAGCTGATCCCCTACAACCTCACCAACGTTTTCGCCCACTGGATATTTAATCGTCATATGGTACGTCGATACGACCGCCTGGAACGCATTCAAACTGGTCCTCCCCATTATGATGTTGTACGATGACTCCGCTCCCACGACCACGAACCTCACCATCCTCACCTTCCTTGTCGCCCCTTGCCCCAAGGCGACAGATAGACTCACCTCTCCCATTGGCATTACTTCACCTCCACTAAATCTGTATAAGGCGTGGTCACCGGCTTTAGCAAGAGATTGAGCTCCTTTTTTATCTGCACAAAACAATCATAAAACATTACATCCACCGAACTCCCGGTATCAATGAACACCCTCTTCACATCAAAGCCTGCCACCTCCACCGTAATCACCAATGCATCATTGTGGGGCAACACCACTCCCTCGGCATCCTCTGCCCGAAAGCTTATTTCCGGCATTCGAGCAGTAATCTCCACCTCCTCTCTCTTCCTTTTCATCACTTGAACATGCCCCTTCCTCGCATTGTTCGAGTCTCCATCAGTTGGGCCTCCCGAAATCATATATATTGTCCCACTCTTTGCAGGACCGTGATCCTCCTGACCTCCTCGATCTCTACTCCCTCGTTTCTTCTTTTCTCCAGCACCTCCTCGAGGCTCATCTTCCTCATCATCATCTCGATCACTCCTCTCCACCGAATCTTCTCGACATCTCCTCTTTTCCTTTCCCTTCACTTTGTCCTCATACACGAACTCCTTGAGATGCCCCGCCCTAATGAGGCGTTCGATCTCATCATTGAGGTGCCTGCACTTCTCCGTCGTATGCCCGTAATACTTGTGAAAGCGGTAGTACTTCCTCGACCTGGGCTGTGTCGGCCCTTCATGCCTCGACTTAGGCCATGTCACATCTTTGTCATCTATCTTCTTCTCAATGGCCACCAACACCTCTCCCATCTTCGCATTCAGCGGCGTAAAATTATGGAACCGCTTTCCCCTAAGTACTGGTCGATCCTTCCATCTATCCTCCCGTCCTCGATCCATCCTACCACGCCCTTCTCTCCTGGGCGATCTACCCCTTGGCGACACCCTCCTAGGCGAGTTCACCCTCCTCTTCTTGGGCTTTGGCTTAGCTAACTCCTCCAACTTAGCAAACTCCGCCTCCGTCTCCTCCAAATTAATATACTTCTTGCATCTCTTCAGCACATCGTCATACGTACGAGCAGGGGTTTTGGCCAAGGATGTTCGACAGGGCCCTGCTCGTAAACTCCTTATCAACCCTCCAGCCTTCACCTCGTCAGCAGCCGTGGGGATCTCCAAACAAGTTTGATTATATCGAGCCACGTACTTGCGCAACGACTCCTTCTCCTCCCCTTCAACCACCTATTATTCCCCAATGGACCTGGGAGTTCAATCCAATCCCAGTCATCTGCTCATCCGTGTGTGTTTTAGCGAAAATCTCCCCTTCACCTAAACTAGAACTTAATTTAGCGGCTCTTTCCAAAAGGCGTGACTGTAAATAAAAAACATCCCCTGGATAAGCTTCACGGCCAGGCGGTCGCAGGGAACTTTCTAATTTGGGGATATCATAGTCAAGGTAAAGCAGCACAGCATTGAGTTTTCCCTCAGCAGAGTACTTACTTGATTAAGGGAGTTAAGAAAAGACGATAGGCAATTTCGAGATCAGGTCTATCTTGGAAAAGCCCAGATCTACGTCCAATTATGCTGGCGATACAGCTGGCGCAAGCGGATATGACAGAGGACGAGATGAAAGAGATCAATTGAATGCTCTCCCCAGGTGAGATAATGAGACAAAAGCATGAATAATCGTCTGCCGACTGGGAGTCCTTTCCAAATTCTCTCCCGAATCATCGCAAAGGTTCGAGTTTTGTCCCGGCCTATCATTGACCGGGGAGCTTTAAATTATGCTCTTGCTCATCTTTTGAATTATAGGTTGGCAGCGGCAGGGTGTGTGGCCATATACACTTTTCTTATTGGAAAGACGGATAAAAAAACTCACAGTATAGAAAATAATAAAAAAAAAGGCTACAAGTACATAATAAATGTACATAGTGGTGTACATAACAACCACATGGAGTGAGGTCCATTTAATTTTTTTATTTTTGGTCAATTTCATTCAATGTGAATGTTATGTACACTCCTATAAATAATATTATATACCTATATCACTTCTCAAATAATAAAATACGGTCATATACACTTTTCCTATGCAAAAGATGGATAAAAAAACTCACGGTATAGAAAATAATAAAATACTCGGAGTACTTGTGGCTAAAAGTAGCTACTCTCATAGCACCATTAGGTTCCACGGATTTGTTACTCTGATACTGTCCACTTAATATCCATTTTGTTTTAAGTTCCCAAGATGACAGCCTTAAAACCCACAAATCAAAAACAAAAATGTTTGGTGCATAGAGAATGGCAATGGAAACAAACATCATCAGTTTCAACTTCACACAGGCTAAAGGATACCTTTGACTTTGATTCTTTCTTGATTCATGACCGCATAAGAGCATCTCTAATAATCCTCCTACACAATCCTCATTTATTTATTTTTAATATGTCACATCATCCAAAACCTCGTTCTTACTCCTACACATATAAACTTCAATAATAACAAGCCTCATAAACCTCTTTTTTATGGATCTCACATGTTTCTCACTTATTTTTTATAATTAATATTATACTCTTATTTTTAATTAATATTTTAAAACTATAACTTCAATTTTATTTTTATATAATCTAAATGTTTCACATATTTATCATAAATACATACAAAAATAAGATAATTATATGTAATTATATTGCACTATTTATAATTAAAGTAAAACTTATTTTCTAATAATATGAAACATTAAATATTAATTATTTATGATTTTTTTCAAAACGAAGAATGAAATTTTTAAATAAAGTATTTGTCTTTCTATGTTTGGAATTATTAATATTCAAATTGCTACTAAAAAAAATAAGAAGCAAAAGAAAAAATAGAAAGAACAATAAAAGGAAATGAAGCAGGCACATGTCGTGGCAGGTGGTAGGCCAATACTCATCACGCCATTGAACAATGGTTGTATAACACACTCTTTGATTTAAGTGATAGATAGTAGTGCGTGTAGCAACATCCTATAGATATATCTTTTTATATTTTTCAAAAAATACAATTTGGAGGTTTAATGGAGGTTTGTGCAGACAAACTTGGTTTATGTTCACAAACCTTAAACCTATCCTTTATAATAGAAAACCTCAAGGTTTGTATTTGTAAACCTCATTCAAAACCCCTTATTAAAGATGCTCTAATACTTCTCAGAATGAAACTCGTTGTGCTTGTCCACAATGTAAACATGATATTATGATTAATCTAAAAGGGGCAAAATTACAAAAATGATACACTAAGTTGGGCGTTGTCAACAAAAGAGACAATTTGTTGTCCCTCACGAAAAAGAAACCCGTAGATGGCTTTTTGCACGAAAAAGATACAAAATTACAAAAACGATACACTAAGTTAGAAAACTGTGGATTGTTTATGCCTCACTTAGTGCATCGGTTTTGTAATTTTGTATCTTTTTCGTGCAAAAAGCCAACTACGGTTTCTTTTTCGTGAGGGACAACAAATTGTCTCTTTTGTTGATAACGCCCAACTTAGGGTATTGTTTTTGTAATTTTGCCATCTAAAAGGTCAAACTTGTCCCTGACTTAACTAACAGAACATAATTTGCCTTTTGCAGCTATTTCTATAAGTAATCACATGTTCTTACTTTAACCATGCATGATTTGGGTGAACCCAAGTCTAAATTTGTGTATGAGAGCAATAAAAAAAATCTGATTTTTTGCAGATAAATCTTTTTTCTGGAAAATTTTACACTCCAATTCTTCAACTCTCTGGAAATGCAAATTTATGGTGCCTCTTACTCCTATATGTATCTTTTCTGAGTTCTAGCATTCATGATCGATGGTTTTATGAATAGCATTATTTGTTAACGTGAAATAATTCTATGTATTATATTAGAGATGAACACAAACACCAAGTAATCTAGAATTCATTATACAATTGCATATATATTTATTGCAAACACAAACATTGGATTGTAGTTAAAGAAAACAACAAAGTTTCCCAAAGCTTTTAATATTCTGAATTAGATTATCTAAAAGAGGAATAACATAATGTAAGAATATGTGGTCCAAAAGCATTGGGCTCACAATTAATTATCCTATTGGGCTAAACCTTTATTTAATAGTCAAATAAATCTAAGCCATTAATCTGGATATTTGGTGGACGTACCAGATCTAAAGCACCCCTATATAAATTAGTCCTCTCTCCTCCTATTAGGGTACGCAGTAATTATCCCATCACTTTTCTGCTACGTTAAGAGAAGGCCAGGAGGGAGAAACTGATTTAGATCTACCGATCAATTTAACCCCGTGTGATCATCAAGATCAAGATCACAAATTATGTCGTCTTCCGCATCAAGTAAGTGTTTCGTATACACCAAATTATTTATTCAAGATCCATGATGAAGTTTACATGAGGTATCAGATCATGTGTTATGAATGAATAATTTGTTGTAAATTATGATTCATTGATATAACTGGCCGAAAAGTTATTTGTTCAGAAAAATTAATTCGGCGAATGTTTCTTTCTTTTGGTCGCATCAATTATTCTATGATGATTCCGTTTGCTGTTTATGTTGATGGTGTATTATGCTTCTACAAGTATAATTTCATTGCGATATTGAAATTCATGTGAAAGTCCATTTTGAATGGTCCTCTGTTTCGTAGTGGCAGCATGAAAACTATTTTCTTTTTGACTGATTCTGAAAACCATGTATGATTGGAATGATTGGATTATGTCCTGGTTGATGAAATTCCATGGCAATCACTCCCTACATGAATTTTGAATGTCTTTTATTTGGTCAGATTGACCGATATCGCAATAAGAGTAAAATATGTGTTTTCCTGGATTAATTGATGCGATTATCTATTATTTGATTAGTCTGCTGGCCTTATGACTGTGTATAACACGAAAGTGGTTATTATGGTGTTATCTATTATATGACATTAAGAAATAATTAATTTGTTAGTCACCAAAGTGGCCTAATTAATTTTATGTCCAGTCATATAATATTATTGTTACAACTATTTATTATATGACATTAAGTGAAAATTAATTTGTTAGTCACCAAAGTAGCCAAATTAATTTTTTAATGTTTGGTCATATAACTTATGTTCTATTGAGAATGTCATTATTCAAGATAATGAGTTTATTGGTTATTAGAAATTATGGATTTACCCAAAGGTGAATCAATGTTCTATAACTAATAAACATTAAGGAGAAATATAATATCCTTTGTCGAGCGTATGTAGATATCCAAAGATACTATGTATGTTAGACGAAGTTTATTTAATTTCTCATTAAGTGTTAAATGACATTCGACTTATGATAATGATATATATTGTGTGTTTACCCAAAGGAGACCTGCAATATATGTGATGAATGTATTTTCTGAATCTATTAATTAAGTGAGCGTTTATGATTGTGTAGCTATCTCTCTTCAATCGCAAGCTTCTTCTGTTACTGTCTTCAATGGTTTGAATTTCTCTGAATGGCGTGAGCAAGTCAATTTCCATTTAGGTATTTTGGATATTGACTTAGCTCTGCTTGAAGAAAAGCCCGCTGACATTACTGATCAAAGCAGTGAGGTTAAGAAATCAAACCGTAAGGCTTGGGACAGGTCTAATAGATTATGTTTGAGCTTTATGCGAATGACGATTGCCAACAACATTAAGTCAACTCTTCCCAATAATGTGGATGCGAAAGCATACCTTTTTCTTGTGGAAGAGCATTTTCGTTCCGCGGATAAATCATTGGCAGGAACACTTATGGCTGAACTCACGACCAAAAAGTATGATGGGTCGCGAAGTATGCAGCAACATGTTCTTGACATGACTAATCTTGCAGCAAGGCTTAAGTCCCTGGGCATGACTGTTGATGACTCATTTCTGGTGCAATTTATGCTTAACTCGTTGCCTCCTGAATATGGGTCATATCAAATTTACTATAACACTATTAAGGATAAGTGGGATGTTAATGAATTGGCCAGTAAGCTTGTTCAGGAGGAGACGAGGCTTAAGGCACAAGGAGTTCATACGGTCAACCTTGTGGGTCATGGAGCTAATAATAATGTTCTCAAACCAAAATCCAACAAGTTTAAGAAGAAGGGATCTGCTAAAGTTTCACAGGTCACTAATGATGAAAAAAAGGAAAATCAGGCAAATAAATGTTACTTCTGTAAGAAAGAAGGTCACATACAGAAAGATTGCCTGAAACGCAAGTCTTGGTTTGAAAAGAAAGGTATTTCTAATATCTTTGTATGTTTCGAATCAAACTTGTCTGAAGTTCCTTCAAATACATGGTGGTTGGATTCTGGTGCTACAACTCATGTTTCTAATGTGATGCAGGGATCTCTTACAATCCAGAGCATAAACCCAAATTGAGAACTTCTTGTACATGGGGAACCATATGAAGGCCCCAATTGAAGGCATAGGGACTTATCGTATTGTTTTAGATTCCGGGCACTACCTGGATCTTTTGCAAACTCTCTATGTACCTTCATCTTCTAGAAACTTAATGTCTCTTTCTAGACTTGATGTTCTTGGGTTTTCCTTTAAGTTTGGACATGGATGTTTCAGTTTGTTTGATAAACATGATTCCATTATTGATTTTGGAATTCTTATGGATGGTTTATATATACTGAAACTTGATGATGATTTTTCTGCATCTTTAATGTGTGTTCATCAAAACATTGGAATTAAACGTGGTGTAGCAAATGAGAACTCTGCTTTCTTGTGGCATAAACGTTTGGGTCATGTATCCAAAGAAAGAATGC